ATTCATCCATCACTGGAAAAATTTAATGCACACTATTTTACTAGTGGAATTTTCCTATTGAATGTAAATTATTCCAAAATTTATTTTCAGAATGTTTCATTCTTGCCTTTGTCAGACAGCTGGTAGAGGAAAAGGGTTTCAAAAATAAAGAAAATTGTATGCAATGAATAACCAATTGCAGTAGACACTAGGACATTAAATGTATTTTTATTGTGAGGACATAATGCTGCTATAACCTAACCTTCTCCACCCCCATAGGGTAAAGAACACTTAATGAGAGAGAAGATGCTTTTACTAATCTGTAGTCAATTTCTGTGTTATATAAGATTCATCAGACATTCACTAGTAATTTCTTCTCTTTATCCCTTATTTCAGAGACAAAAATACTTTTTCAACCTTTGATAAGAAAAGACTGATAAACAGTTAACTAATACACATTGTCTGGGGTTTTTTCATATAATCAATAAGATCTTGACACAGTTACATTCCCTGTTATGTGGGAAGCCAACATGTTTTTTTTTTTTTTAGAAAATCTTTAAAGATGTGCATTACCAGTACTTCAAACTTCTTCTGTTTTTTGAGGATCTGTCAAACTGTATTTCTCAGAAGCAGTTTTCCTGGGTGTAGCTTTTTTCTGATAAAGTCAACTCTATGGCAGAAATCCCGCTGGATGATTAGAGAGACCCTGAGATTAGCTCAGTTGATTAGAGCCTGATGCTAATGATGCCAACCTTGTGGGTTCAATCCCTGTTATGGGCCATTCATTTAAGAGTTGGGTTTTATGATCCTTGTGGTTCCCTTCTAACTCAGAATATTCTGTGATACAAATAATATGATTTTCTGTTCATTTTTTTCCCTACAGTTTCCAAAGTGCCTTCTTTCCCTACTCAGGAAATATTAGATTTCCTAGTAGCTGCTGGGCTGAGCTCTTTGGTTTTGCCTCTACTCCTAAACAAAGTTAATACTAGCTTGTTGTCTCTGCTTTTTTAGCTTTGGTCCAAAGTTCATTTTCTGTTTACATTCAGACATTTGATCAGCTAGTTAGATGGTTTTATTACATTTTTATTTAAAACAATAATTATAGGAAGAATACCTTCTTATAGCAGAGAATATCTCATTAAAGCTGAGAAAGCCCCTGCTTTGGTAATTTTTTGAAAAAGAAAGGCAACTTTCTGAAATCCTAAAACATTATCAAATGAAGGGTTAAGTGATGGCATTGATTTTTATAGCATATTGTTGCTTCAGTGAACTTGCACAGTAAGTCTATGATTAACTTTTCTCTTAAATAAAAATCTAAATTTGATTTTTTGCTTTTTTATTTCTAAGGAGATTGGGTAAAAATATCCCAAACCAAAGTAATTCTACTCCTCACCCCTTTAGGGCTGTGAACACAGTGGGTTCCTATGCTCATTCTTGCTGACAGGATGTTACTGCTTTCCTTTGATATATAACTTTATAGTATCTGCTGCTAGTCAATTGCCCTTTAATACTTAATTTTATAGTATCTTCTACCAGTTTTTTAGACCTTTTTTATTGGTGTTGGTCAAATCAGGTGTATAAAGCAAGAACATCAGCATGAGAAGTTTGAGTTGAATGAGAATGAGTCGTCCATTAATTCTGATGGTAGGTTCCAAGTCCAGTGTTATGACAGATTTCTGACACCTTTTTCCATAGGTTTGTTAGCTAGTTTGTCCTGGCTTGCCCAAAGGGATACTGCCAAATCTTTAGGCCCTGATCCTGCAGCCAAATCTTCATGTTCGGGATCCTTTTGAACTCAGCAAGTTTTTAAGCAGATTTTAACTTTAGATGAACATGAATTTGTTCCAGGAGACAATCAGCTGTGTAGCTGCTGAGAAATTCAGATAGTTACAGATCAGGAAATGCACTGATCATGCAGGTTTTTGTCTTCTATATGGTCACAGTAGCAGCATCTGCTCTTGTGATGTTGGTGGGCCACAGGGACCCTGGTGTCTGTGTCCTCCGTCTCTCTCTCTTTCTGGATCTGTACATACACACTTATACATGCATACATATATATAGTAGCATACTGTGACTAATTTACATGCAGGTATACATATATACTTGTCTCCTGAGTGTGTTTATCTAGTTTCCAATTTGCTATATATTCTCCATTTGAGATGATCTGTTTTCTCCATAGGATTCTGGGCATGGATATGACTTATCTCAATCACACCACCTCATTCAGGTAAAGTAAAAAAAGTGAGAGAAAAAGTGAAAGAATAGAGAGTTATTAAATCGTTTGCATTAAAACATAAACACATAAGTAAATATGCTACATGCCAAAGTATCTTAGGGGGTTTTTTGTGCGTTTTTGTTTGGTTGGTTTTTTTGTTTTGGTTTGCTATTTTTTTTTTTTTTTGGTTTTCAGTTACAGTGTGCTGGAGGTATCTGAATTGGGATTTTGGATCTGATTAATTTCTTAAATACACAAATATAAATAAGGAGGAACACTGAGAAGTCCACTGAGGAAAGCCTTATAAGTCTATCAAAAAATGAAGCCTTTGTTTCTGGACTTTGGACTAATATTTTTATAGTTTTCTTTCTGTGGAAGTGACAAATGCAAAACTGACTTCCAAAACTCGCTCACTTCTTTTACTTATCCAGACTACGACTCTAAGATACAGCTCTAATAAACCTATCTAAAAAAGGAACTCTGATCTCCTAGGAGCACCAGAATAAAGTTTGCAGTGATTCCTGGTTACATACAATAGTTGTGTAATTAATAAAAAAGTATCCAGAACAGTTAGCACATTCTGGAGCCAAGATTATTTTACTTTACCATAATGAACATCATTCTGTTAAAGGATAGTTCATCCCTGTAAATAAAGGCACAAAACTTCTGTTAATTTCCTTGAGTATTTCATATTAAAAATATTCCAAGTGATATGTGTCACCATTTATTTAATCTATTTTTTTCAATGCAATCATCGACTTAATATAAAATACTCTTTATGCAACAAAAAACTTGCCAAGATTGAGTTCAGACGTAAACAAAATATACTGTCACAAAATACTCAGTTTTGTTTCTCTTAAAACAGGTGTTTAATTGTTAAAGTGAAATGATGGTAAATGTAAAATTGGAACTCAATTTTATAAACTCTGTTTAAAATGCAGAGTCGGTAACTTGGACAACATCTCAATGATACGTGAGGGGTGAAGCAGGAGGATTAGAGATACTGAGCAAAACCCCATAGAACTGATAATTTTCCCCACTGTATCCTTTTAAAAAGCTGCAGTTCTGGTTTCTTATAAATTTAGCCTCTTTATAATTTTCTTACTGCCTCAAATTTCTTAAAGAAAATGTGACATCACTACAGATAGCTTCTTTAAAGTGTTCTTAAACTACATTTTACTTTGTAAATATCTTTGAGTAACAGAAATGCAAGACTAGATCCTGCCATGAGCAGGAAATCCTGCTGGAGTTTACCAAGGTGAAACTAAAATTTGGCCTACCTTCCTTTATAGGGGGGTCAATGAGTCATCTTATTTTTACCTCTCTTTTTCTCCAAACTTTGGTGGGATGAGCCTTTGCTCCCCAAACAACTTTTTTTTTTTAATTAAGGAAGATGGAGAGAAAGTGAATTTTCAGGTCACAAAACTCTGCTATGCAAAGATCTACATGTTTATGCCAAGGACCTTCACCCCTGGCCATCTCAGAGAGTCAGAAACTGATGAAAGTTGTGGAGTTGAAGTAATATATAAAAGCTGGGAACAGAACTTGCTAAATTGAGCAGAGTGTTATAATTGACCACCTACATTCCATCAGACTTTGCTGAATAACCTGCTGTTACTAATATCACCTACCACAAAGGCATACTGCACACAATGATAATAATTTTGTGTTTATAAATCACCATGAAAATATACATTTCCATATGACATCAGTGCTCTATAAAATGTGCTATTGTGTGTTTTGTTTTGTTTTAAGAATTGAATTTTTCTTTGGAGTTATAATTGTAGTCCACCTTCCTGGGAAAACAGGACATTGTCCATATTAAAACACGCGGCAAACAAAATTAAAATTTGCTCTTTGTCTGAGATAAATTTTATGCTAACTTTATTTCATATAAAAGCTCTTTTTCCCTAAAAGAATATTCACAGACAAGGGATATCACAGCTTTATCAGATAAATACACTTTTAAGGAGTAAGTTTGCATCGTAAGGAGTCTTTCAGAGGTCCTGCTGCCCTGTACAAAAGATGTTCCAGAGGCTAAAAGTGAGGTCATTCCCCACTGTCAACACCTCCTCCAAAGCATGGGACAGTAGCAGCAAGGAGAATGCTGTACACCCTCTCCTGCAATGGAAACTGGCTTTAAGATCGATACTAATATTTAGAGAAAGAAATATTTACTGATATTCCCCATGCCAAACACTGCAGCTGTAACTACAAAGCACGTGAAGATGTCAAAGCAGCTAGACCCCTTCCTAAAAGTGTGTTTATTTATTTTTTTTATCTTCTAACACGTGACTGCTTTTCTGCTTAAACAGCTCTAAAGGGCTATGAAAACTGAAGTCCTTCAAAGCTGTTTAATGTTTCCTCAGATTCACAAGACAATTCTGCATTACAGATCTCCTAGCAAAATCTCTGAAGCATTGCAAGCGATACTCACATAATTTTCCATTAAGTCGGTATTTGTGTATTCAACACCTAGAAATTAAGGAAAGTGAATGTGGACAGGGAAGGGAAAAAACAAAGGCGAAGGGGGAAGGGCCAGGGGGAGAAGGGGAAAAAAAAAATAGAGAAACCCTGCCCTGAAACAGCCATGCAGCTATTAAACATATGCCAAAGTAAACAATAGTGTGAGGGTCTGCCATAGCTTTGCCCTGCAGGTAGACGGCAGGCGGCACAGAAGGAAAGCAAATGGCAAGGAAAAGAGAAAGATGGTACAGGATGTGGATGAGATGCCGAGCCCTGAGAGCATGAACGGCCTGATTGTGATCCTCAAGTCACACTATCAGCCATGCAAAACAGGACATACCTTTCTGGCTTGCTGGTTCTGTCGGCTGAAACAAAGCAGTCCCATTCTCAGCAGGAGGCCAAATCAAAATGAAATTTTATTTAGTCTGCACTATCCCCAGATTGGGTTTCAGAATGACTGCTTTAGGAGATAGCATGGATGTGGCTGATGCATGCTTTGCATATGAAACTGCAATAGAGGGGGAAAAAAAAAATCTACATAATCAAAAAAATCTGTGCCGTGTGGATGGCAAAAACCCCTGGACGTTAGTGAAGCAGCTACAATGGATGTTTTAAAAAATGACCTTCCTGAAAAAAATGCACGTTTGTGCTCTGCAATGCTATTTTCCATAAATATATATTAGATCATTTTGCATGTAATTATTCAGAAGCTGCCCTGAGAGACTGAAATATCAAATAATTTTTCTTATTTTTTTTTAAACACGGAGCAGAATTACTGTTTGGAAACAAATGCAGAGAAAATGTATATCTAAAGAGAATTTCTGTGTCTTGCGCTGGCTGGGTGTGATTGCACCTCAAAATTCTCTTCAATTTAGTGTTTTGTTTAAGTCCTGTTTCCTAGAGTACCCAATGAAAGGCCTATTGCAGTAAAAAATATGTTTTTTGTGCCACTGATCTAATGCATTCCACCTTACACTTTTAAGAAAGGATACATTCTTTGATTAGACACAGTTAATTTTACAGACTATTAATAAATAAAAAAGATCATCAACTGATCACACAGTATTTTCATTAGAAGTTAGAAATAACTTACAAAGGCAAGGAATAGTCTGTTGAATATGCAGGGCATACACCATGTAATGCCTTTGTTGTCAGTTATGCTGCAAATGAGATTTTCAAATAGGATTTGCAGAGGCAGGGCAGTGATCAACACAGTGCAACATCCAGGAAAGGGAAGTTGAGCACAGTATTCTGTGAAACAAGGGGGCAGAAGGGAGCCTGTTTGTAGATACGTATTATTATCCATAGAAAACACTTATCACGGCTTGATTTTGCTACACCAGCTACTTGGAACTAGGCGATACCAATAATTTTGTAAGTGCACATCTGTGTGGGCACATGTGTTTATATTTATCTGTGTGCAGGGCATGTAAGCCTGTAGTTTGTGCACATGTACACACTTGGACTGTAAAAGACAAGCAAAAAGCAGCACAAACAATACACATTTTCAATTGACAGATATGTCTGTGCTGAAACAAGCAGTGCTAATACCGTGCTCTATATGTCTATAGCATATGGACAGCCAAAGAATGGGAAAGAAAAAACCCCCAGAAAGCCAACACCACAAAATCTTTCAGAATGCAAAAATGCAAGATCCCAAATAAACAATATAGATAAAAACTTGCAGCAATAAGGAGATACAGTGCAAATCATTCACACAATGTGCTTTCACACAGCAATGACGGAAGTCACTGATAACAATGCAGCCATGTGCAGATACTCCTTGGAGAAACAGTCGAGCAAATTTTGTAATTCTATCTCCTGTGCTTTGGAGGCTGAGTTTGAGACTTGCTTTAACAAAATACATGAGAATATTACTGTTTTAAAATTAAGTGTTGGACATTATGGAAGGTAACTTCATAATGAGTTCTTCTATTGCTATTTAAAGCTAGAAATCCATAAAGACCACAGTGAAAAATATAACATTTGTTTCCCTTATGTCTTGGAACAACTGTTTTTATATTTGTAGTCTTCCTAACTGTTGTTCCAAACAATATATTCAGATAGTCCCTAGCCTCATGCTGTATCGTGTTTATACTGATGCATATCTTAGAGTGAAGCTTCAACTGTATTGAATTAAATTGATTTTTTTGGGGTGTTATTATTTTTATAAATGCTGCTTTTTCTTTCTTTTTTTTTTCTTGCAGAACTTCCCACTTTAGGAAAAAAGAAAGATGGGATTGCTTTAAAAACAGAAGACCAAATACAAAGCTAGTATTCCCAAAATTCAATGCACCTGGCATTCACTTTATACCTAATAAGCATCCGTGAATATGCAAATGTTCAATGTCTCTAGTAACCTCATTAATTTATTCCTCAGGCAATCAAAGAATGTGAACCAGTCCTCTGCTACTAATACTGGAAGTAGTAAGCCGCTCAGCATTGCTAGAATCATCTGAACGCACATTCTACATATTGAAAAACTATTTCATCTTTCTTCCTTCCTTTGCCACTGTAATTCAAACAAAGACTTCCTACCTCAGTTTACATAGCTGACAGCAAAAGTTGAAAAATGCCAAAAAATAATTAAGACATATATAATATATATCTGTATCACCATGTGCACACATGCATGCTGGGAAGATAAATAGTTTAAAGAGATCTCAACAGAATTTCAGTTTGAAAACCATCTGAGTTTTCTTATTTATTTATTTGGAAAGGGGGGAGCTTGGGCAGGATGGGGGAGGTGGGGGAGAAATGACCTGCCTCCTACTCGGCAAAGCAGCTGAATAATCTTTTCCTTTGCCCACATTAAAAGCCCTGAATAATGTTTATAAAATGTTAGGGAATCCCGGTAGGTTTCCTATTTAACAAGCCATGTATGACAAATCACAGTGTAATGTACTACGTTCTTAATCTTTAATTAGAATGTGAATATCTGCGCGAGAACGCAGTTAACTTTGACACATTAAATCTTCTGGTTAAAGTGCCTTACAGGAAGTGCAAAGATGAAACACTGCAACAATCTACTGCCTCTCTCCATTCACCCAGACAGTTGGGGAAGGATGATAACATCTTGTAATACCTGCTCTGTAGTAATTAATCGCTGTGGTATTTAGGACCATTCAAGTAGACAAATATGACAGAGACAGGGACAATTAGGAACCTTGTTCAAGCTACATTAACTTTTCCAGCTATTACAACACAGCAGCTCAAGTTTGCTTGTAAAAGCTGCAGAGGGATTGTTATGCATTAGCCGTGCGATTATTAATGAAAGAAAGGGAGAATTGTGTTTATTGTAGTTTGAAAATTGCAAATAAATTTCAATTATCTGCTATGTCATTTTGTTAAACATGCATTCTGGAAATGCCTTTGTACTCTAAATCATGAGCTACTTAGAGCAAACTAATACTAGAAAGCCTTTGGGAGATACAAAGTCAATATTTTTGTTGAAATGGCCTTCTTTCCTGTTCAAACCAGAGACAGACTGAAGGTATTTCAGATAGCTAGTGAACCCCATAGACACTGGCATTCACCCTAACTCCATGTACCAACAGGCAGTCAGATCAGACTGACATATCACTGGTGGAAGATGCACTCTGCTCCACAAGAATAAGAAAGCTCAACTTCCTTACTCATGGCATGCATAAAGTGCACACAGAAAAATAAATAAACAACCAGGGGGAAAGCCCCTCAAAATTTTTTTGCCTCTTTCCCATTGTTGCCACAGTCATCACCAGAACGGACCAAATGAAATGTGGGGAGAACATTTGGGATTATATACTGTAAAGGTTACAGACAGTACTTTATCATCAATAAAGAACAGAAGATGCGCTGCAGATTATAAAGTTTATACTTTAACTATACATTTGAGGCAGCACAATTTGCCATGGCTTTTGGCACCACATGAACATGTATTGGTTCTCAGCGTTAAAGGAGGATAGCCAGAAAACAACAGAACTGGACAAACATTGCAAAGATTTTGGCATGAATATTCACTTGGTGTCTGTTTTCTTTAAAGAAAAGAAGAAATCACCTAAACCTGTGGCCCCTTTATGTTCACTTTCTATGAATATTTGAACTAGGGTTTCTTAGCAGCATGAATGCTTGAAGAAAGCTAATTTGAAAGTCATACGTGTGAGTGTTTGTGGAAAACGAATTCTAAATTTGCATGTGCAAATATTTGCAGTGGGTATGCTGTCGTTTTCCCCCAGTCAGGGAGCAGCAGCGCTGCCACGTGTCTCACCCCACCAATCCTGCCCGAGGAACCCAGCTTGAGTTTCAAATATTGTGTCAAATTTGCCTAGTGAACTTGTTTACAATTGAGCCCTAAAGTAGAAAAAAAGAGAAGTGTTAAAAGTGTATGAAATGTACTTTAACAACAAATGTTTGCAGAGATGGGAGATGCATAGCTGGGCATTTTGAAAGCAGAAACAGAGGCATGCTGGCACAAAATAGAGTATGTTAGTAAGTGTTTGCTCAGCTCTGGTAAGACTGTTTTTACCTCCTCTCCCCTTCCAGAGGGTGTAAAAGAAAACTAAAGGGTAAAAATACCACTCAGGACAGGAAAACACTTTCTTTCCATCTGCCCACTTCATGGTCAATCTATTGAAATACTACCCTTCAAATTCAAAATATTTGTGAGGCTTGACATGCTTTCTGAATGTGTAGGACAGAACTCCACCATTTATTTGCAGGTGAGGTCTTTCATGTTTTTATTGTGGTATTTTTTCTTTTCAGTATTGGTAGTTGCAAAGTACATTGCTTCATGCATGCCATTTGCTTCAACCTACTTCATTGTAGTCTAGAAATAAAAAGAAAAGCCAGCTTAGCCCGGCAGAAATCTGCATCCCCACCCCAGAATCTGTTGTCACAAAATGAAGGAGGGAGGGGGCTGGGCTGGGAAGGGTGGAAAGGGAGGAAAGGAGCTCAGTGCACAGCAACAATTCCCCCTCTCAGCTGAGCTGCAATGATGTCAGCTTTCTGATTACAAACTGCTTATTTATGCTTCAACAGCTGCCAAGAGCAGCAAATAAGTGGCTAAAAGAGTGTCTAGACCAGGCATTCAGGCCCCTATTGTTTGCTGGTTGTTACCTGGTTGACAGCGATGGGTACAGCTGCCTGGTGTGAAAGAGAGCAAGGGATGGGGAGGCAGTGATTGACAGAAGGGCCCTCGGGGTCAGGCACAGCCAGCCCCGATGGCCCCATGGCTTTATGTTCCCAGCTCTAAAGGGAAAGCGATGGCTCTGCCTAGAGGTTGGAGGTGAAAGGAAATGTTTGAGGGTAATGAAAAAAATCCTTTAGCCAAATTTGTGATCATGAACAGTTACTCTGGGGAATTTAAGCCCAAGTGTTAGGAGTTTTCTCAATATGCAGAGATGGTTATTGGTAGCCACCACAGGAGTAATAATGTGTTACATGTACATGGGCAAAAATGTATCTTTGTGCAGTCCTTCACACAGGCGCTTAAAACTACTGGTGGTTTTATTTTTATTTA